TAGAGGGGGGCGGGGGGGGTTGTTAGGAGCGGTGTCATATTCGCACTGTGCAGGAATTCTGGGCTCCTGGCTACTGATTGCGCCCGCGTCCCCGAGGCGGGACCCCGTGCTCCAAAGGCTGACCAAGAAAGCTCTGCCCGTGACCTGTGGGGCTTGTGGCCAGCGGGCGCAGACTTTAACCTCCTGTGGCTCAGACGCGGAGGAGTCGAAGCCATGCTTCTCTGCCGACCAGATTTCTGGCAGGTTTTGTGGTTTTGGAGCTCCACAAAGGACACTCAGGACGATTGCGCAGGAGGTGTGGGCACCCGGGCAGATCGGTGGGCTCTGAGAGCAAGTTCGTGGGGGTGGGAAAGAGAGTGCGCGCCACCAGCCCGGGAAAAGGCCAGCCCTGGGATAAACTGATATCGCTGGACTGTCTATAAACCATGCCTTGGAGGCTGCCACGGGGGCCACCAAGAGGCCAGCGCAGATCGCCGCCTGGGTTTGGCTCCGCACCTCCCAGGTAGGGCCGCGCAGCACGCTGCCACCGATTGGCACCGCGCACCCCGGCGCCAAGACGGCGCCGCGCCCCTTAATACCTTTAGCATCCCTTCCCAGTCCCTGGATCAGTCCCCCGTGGGTCCAGGATGGAGGTCGAAGGTCGGGAGTAGGAGAGGCGAGGTGGGGCGGAAAGAGTGGCTAGGAAGATAGCGGCCTCCGGCTCTACAGTGGCTCGGACCTTCACGCCTGACCCTACAGTCTTGGCTACACCCGCCTCTTCCCTGAGCGAACGCATTAGTGACTTCGGGAACGCTGATTCCACTCGGGGTTGGGATCAGACATCCTACTCCTGCAGCATCTGGTGTACCTCTGCCCAATTCATTACCCGCTTCAGGCTGCCCCCAAATCCCACCCTAGCAGACGGCGACTCTACTACCGACCCTCTCAGTCCCTATTCTGCTTGGCCCCACCTGGGGTTTGCACTAGCAAAGCAGGAAATGCGCTGTTCCTGGTTCACTTCCCAGCTCAGAAACTGGCGTGGCTTCTATGCGGGCTGTGGAAGCGGCTACCTATGAGCCATTGTCTCCACTCACACCCTGGAAGAGACCAGGGCAGCCTCACCTGACAGTTTTACCAGCAGCAGGACCACTATGAGCAGAACACTTCCACACCCACCAAAGGAGAGCAGGCCCTGCCAAGGAATGTCCAATGGATGTAGTATCATTTGAGTCTTCTTCCCTGATTTATTAAGATCCAGATCTGTGGTCTCGGTCTATGATCCTGTAATAATTTGTTCCCGACATAGGAAAGTGATTCTGATATCAGTAGGTCAAGCATGGTGAGATTTTTTTTTTTTTTTAACGGAGACAATAGGCTCCTTTCCATGCTGAAAAACGCCACTGACATTTTCCCCTAGGAAGCAGGCTGCCTTATGCCAGATAACCGGTTAAGGCAAGGTGTGCCTTCTGTGATCAAGGAAGTGATCAAAGTTTAGGGTTTAGGACCTGTCACTCCTAACAGCATTCATTACTGCCTCCTCTATCTACACAACTTTACCCACAAGCTAACAGATTTTGAACCTGACTAATCTGGCTTCCAAAGTTTATAAGCAGGAAGGAAAATGTAGGGATCCTTGCTGGGTTCTGGGCAGTGTGTTTTCAGTTATCAGTTACCTGAAATTTCTTCTTTGTTTGGGTGTTGGACATTGGTAACACCTTTCCTTTGGTTTGTTTCATAGCCAACACAGGTCCTTCAGTTCACTTTATCTTTCTATCCCTAGAGCACACAATTCATCAGTCTTTAATAAACACTTATGAATACTACACTGGCTGACCAGATCAGTCCTAGGGTCATGTCCCTTCTAGGCAAGAAACTAAGAGCATCTCTGTAGCCCTTAAGGATGGCTCGTCTGTTTAGGCCTATGGTCACAGAGCTCTGGCCACTATACTTTCCCCTCCCCTTCACCAGTCCAGTTTGCACCTCAGATCTCACCATTCTGAGCATTTAAATTTGTTTCTTTTCTTAGTGCATTCAAGGTGGAAATCCACACTAAGAATTCATGTGGATAATTTTACATGTATATATGATGCAAAAATTAATGCCCACCTTAAGGAGACTTTGGAAGCCTTATCAATAATAATTTTTTCATAAACACAGTACTGTTTACAAAGCAGTTTCCTAGCTGAGCTTCACAACAATCCTAGAGGCAGGTGAAGAAGCCTATGCCTTAGCACCCTTTTGATGGGGACCTGAGGGAGAGAGAGCATCAAGGGCTTA